AACACGAAAACTTAAAAGTTTTCGTGTTACTCTACTCTGTAACAACCACCCTAAACTAACATGATGATAAGCAATGTTCGTAACAGATGTTAGGTACGATCATGAAACTTCTGGCACCCACCGCTCGTACATATAATATGGCCTCAGTCTGCCAATTATATTGGGCCCATCGTATGACATTATCTGTTCAAACAGATTGCGTTTGATAAATGTACACGCTTTTTGCTCGAGTCGTAAGCACGATGAAACAAAGTGCACTCCTCTATCCGAATAAAACTATGCAAGGATCGTATGCACATGCACATGCACATGCACATGCACACACACACACACACACACACACACACACACACACACACACACACACACACACACACACACACACACACACACACCGTAAGGCATACTCTTCTAAGTGTGTACAATTTTATCTGTAGCATACGGTAAGTATCAGCGATGCAGTGGTTAAGGTCTTTGACCAAAGGAGGGCATAGTGGTGTACATATATCGCGTTCCTCTAGGATACGATCACTTTCCATAATATTTTTTTATAACTATTCTAACTAAGACAGGCTATATTATCAGGAAGATAATGTGAAATATGAAACAGGTCGCTGGCATCGGCGGGTTACAGCGTCGTCCACTCATAACGCGGCTTGACAGCGACTGACAGCCCGATAGAATACTTCAGCAATGCTATTTGTTCCCTAGCCCTTTATCGGACATTACTTCTATACTCGTGTGGACCTGTACGAAAAAAGAAGGAAATGTGGACACGTTACGCCGCTAATCAGGAAATAGCGGCAGTTGCCCAGTCCCGACTGGCGAATAGTGTTTTGAACATCTGCCTGGCTACGACGTCTTCTATCACTGTCTCCGTAACTATAAAACCGAAAGATAGATAGCAGCGACAACAAACGCCACAATAACCAGAATAGGCTAGAGGAGATGTGGACAAAATGTTATTCAACACAATATTCACAGAACACGCGACGAATCACAAAGTCAAATTGTCTGTCAAAGCTCTGCTTAGCTAAAATAATACGCATCACCTATCTCAACTAGCTGACTTTAAAAGTCAACAACAGAAACAATTTACTTTGAACAAATTCCTCGAGTGACACGAACAGATCGGCTGAGTTAATTTCAGATAAACGTAGAAGACATGGACCCTTGAACGTCTGCGACCAGACACAGCCAACATGGCGGCAGGGAAGAAGCATACCTATTATCGGCTCCATTTGGGTAGATTCCGTTGGCAAATTATTAACGCTAATAAGTTGGTATTTTTTAACCACGAGAAGAGCACAGAGATGGCAAAGGTCGTTCGTCGAGCCCTACCTCTCACCTTTGTAGGACAACATGCAAAAGTTAGGTGGAATTTGTGTGGTCACAGTAGCTTGCTCCAGGCTTGTAAACGGAACTTTTTAGCGAAATACGCTCCAAATAGGGCAGAAATGAAGGGGATTGGTTGAGTCAACACCCACTCTTACATTTATTCATTTGTCGGTGTAACGCCAAAGTCACTATTGATACGTTTCTTTTATAGTGTTCACCTGGCAAGGCGTCTCTTTTGCGGGTCGTCGTCTCTTCCAGCTATCCGATTTTTCCGCAAACCTAACAATGTTCAAGCTAACTGGTAAATAGTTTGTCTCCGGGATGGAACGAATCGAAATGCATTGGCAATATAACTACGCCATCAACCCGGCGTTCGTCAGTGACTAGAGGCTAGCAGTACATAGAAGGATCCTTTTTCCCTTCGCCCCGATCCGAACTTCGTTTAGATTAAACTGTGACCACCGTTACTACACTACCGTGATCAGATCGGCATGAACATCCATGGTCCCCTCCGAGGTTAATCATTCATTGTGCTCCCCATCGGGCTGTTGCAGAGCGAGAAAGATGGAGAATCAAAGAGAGAGCGGGAAAATGGCAGCAAAAGCTCGAAGGTGTTCTGTGGGGGCCTCCGTGATCCACAGGGAGACAGACGCCTACAGCAATGCCTGGCGTTTAAAACAGCGCTCTACCCACGCGAGCAGGGCGAATATGTATACATAGTTAGCGAGCGAGCCGTTTGCCATAAAGCGAGCATCGTTTCCATTAGGAATCAGATATACGTCTACAGGAAAGCCTATTAGATAGACAGACAGACATACATCATAAGTATTTATACATATCCGTTCATTTTCTTCTTGTTTTGATATAGACAGCTCGACAAGGGACAGCCTAAAAGGAAACCCAAATAAGCCAGTCTTAGCTGCCAACGGTCATCTGAAACAAAAGGAACGAGTGCGCTTGTATGGATACGACATCATCGAACGAACACTCTGTACTTGTTAGTTTGCTTAGCTGTCTTTCTTCGCTCAGACTAGTTTTAGCTAGTAGAGTCGGCAACATCAGCAACGAGTGCTATTGCCACTCAGTCGTCAATAAACAATCGCTTGTTATTATTTTGCAGCGGAGTTGGCCCTCGTACTTATTCGTTACAACTTTGTTGTCGCTCGACCTACTAGTATCAGGATAAACAATGCTCGGACGATAGACACACGATTTTTGCTGAGACAATTTTTCCGGCTATTTCAGCTTCTTCAAGAAAAACAAACATTGAAAGCAACATTTAAACTGCTATCATTTATGTCCTACTTTAATGACACTACCTAACTTGTTGTCGATTTAATTAACTAGAAAGAGAGAGGTTTTCTCTCTCGCTTGATATCGGACCCATCAGGTCAATGACAAACCGAAACTTTGGTCAATAATTAGTTTTTTGATGCGCGATTTACACAATCTCTGCCATGTTACCTCCATTTTTCTGTTTTAATAGGAACGAGCATTCAACGATTGACTGAACGAGTGCATAATCGTCTTCTAATACAGAAATTAAGTGAGGCAACGTATTCTGTGCGCGGCGTCGTTTTTACAGCGGAACGAACATTTCTGGCCACGTTAGCCAACATTACGCGGCTAGTCCACGTAGGTTGTTCTGAACCTGCCGGGACGAAAAACGTTCATGCGTCGCCTTCACCTCACGATTAGCAGCAGCAGTATTAATAGTAGCGGTATGAGAAACTCTACCTACATGTCCCCTTGCGAGAAGTCGCTTCCGACGTGGACGGCTTACGGCGCCAATACAATGTCGTCACCGTCACTGCTATTGCCTCCTCCGCACGATGACGCCTTACGCTTTTCTCGGCGTTACGCGGATGGATGGACGGCATCACGCCGTCGCGAGCCGCATCCACCGTATTATAGCCGTACCCTTTTCTAGCGTGGTTTCTTGACTGCAACCTCCCAGTACAGTGGTTGCCGTGTACTGCTTCGGGGACTTTAATAAAGTCTACGACAACGACGGCGAAAGACCCGGCAGGCTGAGTTAGCAGCAGTCAACGTGGGTTATTGCAGTTTTCGCTCTTTGCTGACGACGGTTCTTGGCAATGGTAGTGACGTGACGGTACGCCAGCATTTGCCAGTATCGGTTGTCGCCTAACAGGGTCGCCGATATGAACCGCAACTAGATACATCGAAAGGAGCAAGAGCGAGGAAAAAATACGCCGAGCTGAGCAGGAGCAGCACCCGCAATTGTCGTAGCACAACTAGTCAATATGGCTAGTGTGGCTAGCTGGCTATGGTCCGTCCATAGATTATACTATGCTATCACATGTAGGTAGATGACAAGCCGTGTATGGTCGAGTGAGTGGGCTCCTGTTGTTGATGTTGTCGTAGTGACGACGCTATCGACGTAGGCGAGGACATCGCTAGTCTTAATTCGACGACGATTAACAGACGAACTTGACAGATCCGGCAGAAAAACAAGAAGCCAGACCGAGCGACAGCGGGAGAAAGAGGAAGATAAACAGGAAGAGAGAGAAGGAAAACCAAAAGCAACAGCAAACAAGCTGTCGACAGAACGGTTTGGTTGACAACACCCAGACGGCGAGTGGCCGACCTACTACTGCGACCACGGCTGTCTACAAGCCATCGCTGGTTGAGGCAATCATTATTGCTCTTCTTGTCGATATCGTTTGTCGTTGCCTCAGCCGGTAACATTTGTTGTAGGCGGTGACGGCGACGGCGGCAGCAGCAGCAGCAGCAGTAGTAGCAGGAAGGAATAGTATAAACGTAAAGAGTAAAGCCTTGATGTGAGACGACGGGCGGACGAAACGATGCCTGCTGTCGTCAGGCAACAAGATGGCCAGATGAAGCTGCTACTACGACGTCAACGGTTGCCCACACCACTCGAAAACATCCACTTTCTTCCATTCATAGAAGCACAGACGTATTTACGTTCACCTCGTATTCTAGCCGGACGAGAGTCAATTTACCTCACACGCATACGGAATAGAACACGCACACGTAACCACACTTACATAGGCACTATGAGTCGCTCTGCTACGAACAACCTGGCCTCAGTGATGCCGCAAACAGAAGCAGAAATGACGGCCATTAGAGGTCCGTGGCGCTCCAATTAACTGCAGCGATAGCACGAACGACAACCGAAGCACTCGCGTACCACCTTGGCAGGTAGGATGGAGTGATGATGGTGTCATGAAAGCACGAAGCAATGAGATGGCTATGACAATTGGAACAAACTACAGTACAGGTAAATTTTAGAGTAAAAATCAGCACTAATCGACCCCCGAATCTGCGTTAGTGAATACAGTTCCAATGGTAAAACCGCACGTACTGGAAAAAACATAGGTTCAGTTTTTTAGAAGACTGTCGTAAGCGGACGGCTTATATGAGATATAGACCGAGGTATAAAAAGGAGTACAAGACAGCCTACGACTGAGCGAAGCTTCAATAACATAAGCTAGAAGGAAAAAAACTAATTAAAAGAATTAAGTCAAAGTCAAACATCCTTAGTAAGCGTCTACAGCTATCTTTTTACACTATTTTACAAAGATTTTTCTACCGATAGCACGCAGTTGAAGAGAAACACCTAACAGGTAACAAGCACCATACGACGTCAATATCTAGCAAAATTAAACAAAGCATATAGATATTGTGATAATATGTATTTAAACGTTTATGAATCAACTTTATTTGGACATTTCGCGTTCGGGTTAGTACGTTTCGAGCAACTCCATTTTTTTCGCTCTGTTGTCCTGTCTTTCATTCTCAGGCTGGCCTAAATAGACGAGCTTTGCTTACATTCTAATCGCCTTTAGGTGTATCACTATGATTACTCGTTTTAATAATTTACAATGTTAGCTACATTTAATAATCGGTAAGCGCTCACTCGGTATTCTGCCAGTTTCCCCTGTGCGGTATTTTCTAGCATACCTTTTCTCTATATTGTATGAAATGTTTAAATAGGGGCTAATACTCAGAGTGATTTTTTTCGAACTGATGCACAGAGCGCTTCAGAGCGTAACAGCAGCGGCCGGTTAAAGACACTTCATCGATCGGGTGAAACTCGTAGCACAACGGGAGAGATTAGCCACTAGCCCGAACTGGCCGAATGTACGAACAAATATATTAAATATATTATCATTTACCTGTTGTCCGCTAAGAAGTTAAACATTTTACATTGTGACTATGCAATCGCCTTCGTCCTGGTTTCAACTTAGCTGTTCGCCATAGATCCTTCCTCCTATCATTATCATGTGGCTATACATTGATTTTAATATACAAGTACATTCACGACGGTCGATATTCACGACGTAGCTGAGCAGGCGGGACGATAAACAGACACAAAAAAAATTGTTATTGTTATCGATATCTTAGATTATGATGACTATCTTAATTAGAATTTTAACCTGTGTCGTAGTCGTAGCGCGATTATCCCTATACATTTAAATCTTTCATGTATTGTCGCTGCTACTGCAATTGTTGAGTATCGTCACGCGCCGCTCAGCGTTCTTTCTTTTTATCGTTTGTGATTAATTATTAATTAATTATTCATTCATTGCGCGGGATTGATGAGGATGACTAGAAGAGATCGGGGTAGAGATGCCGCCGAGATCGCGGCGGGAGAACATCAACGTACAGGCGTAATGAAACAACAGCGTCTTCTCCATCCACTTCCCGACAGAGAGCCATATACACAAGTATATTCGGCATGCTGCTGCTGCTGCTGAAATTAACGCACCATCCAGCTTGTCACTCTCTTCCGATAGTGTGCAAGCGTTTTTGCCGCGCGTAATTTAAATCGTCCTGTCCGTCGTCTCCTAGGTGCTAAGCTTCTTGCTTAAGACATTGACCGCCGATTAACACAGCCGCGACCACGGAGCCAATGCACAGATACTCCGAGTTTCTATCGGATCAGGTTAATCTTCGTCTGCGCATACATTTATTGGTTTTTGTTTCGCTTGCCAATAGAGAAAAAACGGGAACAACGCGAGCTGGTGCCCCGTTCCTGGCCGTGGTCGTCCGCGAGATCGCTCAGGCCGAGATCATCTAGGCGACACTTTCGATACGGGGTGATTTACACGCGACCTGACGAGCCTCCTCTCGGACACCATTGTCATCCTCGGTTCTTCGTTTGCGCTGGATTTGCTTCGAGGGTTTCGTGACACCCATAAACTCTGCAAAGGAGCGAGAGAAGGGAACGGCAAAGGAACGCAACATTAGATGTGTGTGTGTGTCTTGTGTAGAGAGGCTCGTGGCATCGAACTCACGAGCGACCGAAATCCTACGAGCTACATATAAGACGCTAGTTGAGGGGTGAAGGAGTGGGTGAAGCTGCACGCGCAGTGCAGGAAGAGCGACGAGAAAAAACCTGGTCGGTTCTCGGCCGAACGAAGTTAGCCGCGTGACGCTCGAATCCCGATAGCCGATGTGCACAATCGCAATCACCTCAAGGCAGGTACGGAGGGCGCAATGTAAAACCCGGAGCTCTTGCTCGCTTCACATACAATCGTATCATGAGTATCTGGCAGAATCGTAGGGTGTGGGTCCACTGCGCGAATGGAGCGCGAGAGTGGGAGCGCGGAGAACCCAACAACCTCTGGCGTCTATTTGAGAACCACCGCTGATATTAAATAGGGAAGCCAGCCTACTGCAGCCCTGGGATCGGGTAAGGTGAACAATACAACTTTGCGTTATGAAGCTTTATTAAAGCGTTAAGCCATAACTTTATTATGCTTGGCTACTGAGGCCTGTAGAAGTTGCTACCGCACGATATGCAATGATTTGACATGAAGGAGGACCGCGCTGCCAGCTGGGACCGTTGGGTTGTGCTGCGTTAGAGATAACAGCTAGGGCAAGCTTACAGTGATACGACTGTATCCCGGGACAGCAAAGGACCGCTAGGTTGGACATCATAGTATTAAGAAAAATACGTTTCTCGACGGCACTTTGTTAAGCGCTAGACATACGAAAAATTCCAGGCAAACTAACATTCGAAGCATTACAATCGATAGTTATAAAGTAAATAAAACAGATCCTTACCAGTTAATTTTCGCTGTGCAACATCTTCGGGCGTCTTTTTCGGCGTATTTGAGGTTTCCAGAAGACAGGCTGGCACATCCTCGATCGGTTCGTACACAAAATTGCCCTCAAGCGGCGTATCTGTCTCAAAATCGAAGTTGTACTTTTCGGAAAGTCGCTTCTGTTCTTTCTCGATCTCCTCCCGCGCAAGTTCCGAAACGTCTTTGGAATCGGGTGCGCCAAAGAGACAGCGAGCCACTCTCGGTGACCGGGGCACCGTCAAAAGCCGCGGCGAAGGCGGAGAACGCTCACGGCCCATCGTTACTGGCACCGGGCGGGGCACTATAGTTGGCATATTAATTCGCGAATGTCTATTGAGATTATGCTTATACACACCACTTTGCCGCACGATAAAGCTGAATATCTTCGCAGTGCTTCTGTTCTAGTCCTATTTGTGCATATACACGTTAGGCAAGTGAAGCTTAGCAATGACTTCGATCGTGATGTCGCAAGCCGTATGAAGAAGCAATGCGCTGCTTGCTACAGTTGTACCGCTGAAATCTCTACACAACACTGCTGTGTAGCATCAGCTAATAGTGGTAAATTGTCTCTATAAGAACTGTTGTAATCCAGCTTAAATCGAATCCTCGAATTCTGTTCACTCGCGACCGTTCAGTGTCTTGTTGGCAAATTACGAAGCCGTCATTCTATTCCGGCTCGTTCGTTCGTATCCAATATGGCTGCTGCCAGCGCTGTACAGGATGAACACGGCTACAATCAACAAGGCAGTTAGTTGCTAGCTGTGGATCGCCACTGCTACCCAAGCGGTCGGCTATCGCTTCCACAGGGGAGTCACAACGATAGCAGACAGGACAATAAATGTACGCTTTGTGCAGCCAAGACACATGTAAAGAAATATCCTCTCACGGCCATTTTTATACCCCTGAGCAGAAAGAGTGAGGGTAGCTGATGACAGCGGCCAATCAGCTTGCCAGCTTTTGGCGCCAAACAGGTACTAATTTATCGAGCAGGGGATAGATGGCGCTGGAGCTGAGGCTGACGACGATTGCGTCGTCGTTCCTAACTCTCTGTCCCGCTGCCTCTTGTCATGGCACATTGTGGATAAAGGTTAGATGACGGTAGACGCTGGCTTCGTTCTAGCTGCGCTGCGCCGCGCCGAGTGAGCCGGGCCGACAACAGATCGACGCCTAACGCACGCACAGACAACAACCGGCCGAGAAGGAAAGAAAGAGCACTCCGACGGCGCCGAGCGATTGTTCAATATATTACACCATTGCAGCTTACAGCCAGAGTCTACCGGCTGCCGGCAGGCAGACAAGCGCTGGTAGGGGTCATGGTGGTGAACTGCGAAACGCCAAAACTGCTACCGGTCGCTGGGCTGTGCATGCATGCATGCATGCATGTATGGCTATCCATGGGTAATGCCCACTCGGCCAGCTAGGACGTGGGCCGCACTGACGCTCCGAACGCTGTCGTTGATAGTCACAGCGTGGGCCGGTGCAGCCGGTAACCCACCAGCGGATATAGAAACAAACAGATTAAAGTAGATATACATCCTTGGCGAACATTGACGACTTTCGGATGGCGGCTCAGTGCCGGCGTTCGGGGAGACAGCGGACAGACGCACGGTCAGTGCACAGGCGTCAGTGAGTGGGTGGCGCGAAGCGACGACACGTTGCAACGTAACGTGAAATACTTCAGCGGAGCCAATGGGACTCATATTTGTCGAGGTGGAGGCGTATCGAAACTTAAATACGCTACTCGTTCCATTGCTCAAAACATAGAGCTACGCTATCAGTGAGACTCGCACAGCTCCTGTAAACGTGCAGAGCAGTGCAAAGTCACTGATTCAACGCGCTCGAATTTTAGCAAAGAATAATTGAATAATAAAACAAAATGTACGTATAGTCGAAACCGGCTTTTCGAGAATCTGTCTAAAAGACATAGGTAATATCATCATACGCCAGAGGTTAGTCTAGAGTTCGGTAGCGCGCCTAATTGGGGTAGAAGGAGCTAACGAACAGGTGATTCAATAAAGCGATGACAAAACTGTGAAGTTGTAACGTCCGTAACAGTGATTCTGCGGGGGACGGGGGGGCTAATCTCACTTAGGGGCGTCGACTCTAATATGATTAAGTCTTTTTCAAGAAGCAAGATTTTTTAACCGACGACCCGGCCAAATGATCGAAACAGTTCGGGTTGGTTCTAATATACAAACTAATCTACTAATTTTCGTGAATATTCACTCAGGGCAAGATAACAAATTCGTCACACCTACCGGCGATAGGTTGAGTCGTATATATTTGTTCTTTGTTAGGCTGTTTTTAGATAGTTCTCAGTCAATACTCTCTAACAACAATAGCTACCGCGCTTATTTTGCTTTCCGTTGCTTTTTTCACTGGACTTAACGGTTATGTGATCGTGAGCTATTAGTGTATGGTTCGCAAGAGAGTTGATACCTGCGGTATACTCGACCTATTTTCTCTAATTCGTTCGTTACAACGGAATCTTTCTACTGATGTTCGATTGACATTATGACGGAACGGAAGGAGGAGAATTGTACCAATGATCTTGGTGCTGCCGATCATGAGACCAGAACGGGGAGCTTTACACGTTTGTGAGAGCTAGCTTCTTATTTGCTCTCGGCATTAAGAAGGGGCACGCACGCACGCACGCTTGCCCACGCTAAAACACAAATGTCATCGCAGCTTTAACGGCTCGATGACTAGATTGATGTCATTACGCGATGTAAAGGGCCAGAGTTTTAACAGTGAAATTTGGTAAAGAACAAAATGGTTATGTAGCTTATTATCGTGGTGAGTACTACCGGAACTTGTTAGGACCTTTGAATTCTGTGATAAATTCGCTTAGAAATAGTCTCCCCGGCTCAGTGAAGCTGTATACGTGAAGCAGAAACGTGTAACGGATAATGCTTCAATGTTCCCAGTTGTCATAATTTTGTGCAGGCTGCAACTAGAGGGTCGTTGTCACGGGCAATCAGAAAAAGTTTCACCTCAAAAACGGTCATCAACTCCATACCATAAATCTATATGTGGTACGATAGCTGTCAATTAGACGACTTCATGGCAACTGCGCCAAAAGGAAAGAAATGCCGAGAAGAGGCGTCATCAGTCGGCTTTATGTTTCACCTACGTCATCAACGTTGGAGCTGTTGAAATTTAGTAGAAGTCAATGATGACTGGTCTCTCACAAGGCTAGTCAACTCTGCATATGCTTACATTCGATCAGACCAAAATAGTTGGATATCCCTTGCCAACTCAACTACGACGTCGTGTCAAACTACTCTATACGAACTAACCAGCTCGCTCGCTATCTGCATACTGATGAAATTTACAAAAATGGCTTGAACGGAAGACTAGCGGTCGATATCGCCTCTAGACTGCCTTACAAAGCGCGCAATCTCTCCGGAATCATAAGCACTATGCACCTCCATAGCGATCGGACCGTCAATCGATCAAGCAGAATTGCCAGCCGCTCTATAGAAACACACAGAGTAGTTAGTACACATAATTTTACGATAAGGTCCACTTCTCTGTGGCGTTTGTTCACGTGGAGTCTGGAAGATCGGAACTTGACGGAAGATACCTGTAATAAAAAATAAAGTGAGCCCTAATTTTTAGTTCTTCGTTACCAGATGAATACCAAAAGGCGAACTAGCCATCTTCGACCAATTAGTTTGAAAGTCACTATTTTTTCAATAGCCTTTCGTTTCCTTTATGTATCACTCAACCGGATGCTATTACAAATCCTCGAGTGAAGGACATAAATGGTCAATAAAGCGCCCCACAGCGGCACGATTCTGCTCGCAGCCCGCACACAATTCCAGTTCGTCTTGGTCTATATACGTGTGGTCGATACGTTCGTCGGTACTTTTCACTCGAGTGCAGTTATTGATGCAAGCGGCCATAATAAAGGTCGCGACACCGATCGAGAGCAAGGCACCACTGTTGCATCCACCATCCGTTGAGTAAGGCGTGTCCATGAACAATTATCGACAAAGACGAGAGAACTACGGTTTTGAAAACGAGAGCGACCGCTATGTGATCACAGTCAAGTACGACACTAATGGCTGACAATAGACGTAGTGGATGCGTTTTCAATGAATGAACGAACAAGCAAGCGTCGTGCTTCTACCTAGTGGAAAAAGAACAAAACGTCACAACTATTGTACGAGAGTCTATTGTAGGTCAACCGTGGCAGTCATCAGGCAACAGCGAGTCCGAGTGACGCGTGGCTCCGAATACCTCCGACCGCCGTGGCTCGTTTCATTGTCCCTTTCTTTGTCCTGCAGTGACCTTTTAGGTCCACTAGTCGCTTCGCTGACCGGATGAAGGGCCACGGTGTTGTCTTCAGCGTGCTACTATCTAGGGAAGCCGCCGAACGAGCGGTCAGAAGTACTAATACGGACACGCAATTTCAATCGATGAGGTGTTGCAGCCTAAAAATGTAGGTTATGAAATGTAGACTTATGTAATACAGTCAACGGGATCAGCACTCTTCAAAGATTTCCAGTTTAGGTTGAAAATTTCAGAACCGGATTGGCATACACCGAGTTAAACGAAGACCAAACTCAGGATAAACTAAGGGGCGACAACGATGTGAATGAAACTAGAATAGAAGTTAAAATATTTTAAGATCAGTACTGCTAAGAGATAGGTTACCATCAAATAGACTATCATATCGTTACCGCCGCGACGACTACGCTGTACCACTCCCATGCTTTACCATAGTTAGAATTCTGCGCAGTACGAGACGATGCATCGTAAGAAAAACTACTTTTCCAGAAAGTCTTACGGTGCTGCAAACAGGCCAAAACGACAAAGTTTATCTACAACTGATGTGTGCCTAGGTTTAAAGGATACTTTTACCTTGTACCTAGCTAACTTTTCTCTGCACTGCCTCTTGACCTTTTTTTTTTTTTTTTTCTGTCCGCGCTTGGTTAGTGCCTTAGACAGCGCTGTCAATCACTCACGTCTGCGCCGAAAACAAATATGAATAAGCGCGTATAAATATATACTCTATATAAATGAGTAGAATATAATATATGTATACAAACAGTGAATAGTTAAAGCACAATTCGTCAAGCATGTAATCGTCATGCTATAATCAGCACGATGATCACTCGCATCATCGACCTCACCCTCATTTTTATCATTGACATAGCTCCAATCTATCATCGCTCGATGATCGATGGCTGTACGATCATCATAATAGCAGGCTAATGGGTAGAATAGAATCGAACTAAGCTGGAGCCCGGTAGATTCCATTTGCTTTAAGTTCTTCATGTGTGAACATTAAAGGTAGAAGTGAAGATAAGGGAGTACTACGCTAGCCGGCTACCTATCTAAAGGCTGAAGTAGTGCTGGCACGGGCCAAAAAGTCGACAGCGAAATGAATATCTTTGTAATGGAACAGCAGTGGAACTTTGACAGTGTGGCTCAGCCTGCAGATTACAGAGGCGGAGGGCGGGGGCGGACAACAATAATAAGCAGAAGCTGCTCTGCGTACACGAGTCCTTGTGCTCTATGTGTGGATGTGCACAAGTACACCTACGATATCACGTGTACACACAATTTAGATACCTTCAAATGAGGTTTTTGTCGTTTTGGGGCCGGGATTCGCTGTCTGCGCGGTCGCTGGCGTTGTTCTTGGTACCCAGATGGACATCAGACGATGACGGCGGTTGGATACGGTAGATCTAGCTCCAACTGCCGACTGAATTACCTCCAACTCCGGCGCCAGGATCCGCCGGCTTACATCAATGTTCTATAAAGAACCCTATCGGTGTGTGCCTATGTTCCCTGTTAGTGGTCGTTAGGACGAGTCTCTGAATTAGTGACATACATCTAACTAACTTTTATTAATGCAACTTACACTAAAGAGGTTGTATTGATGTAAGTGATGGTATTTCACAGATTTTAAGCTTCAATCAAGCGAAATCATTTGTAATGTTATAATTCACAATACGTAGTACTACTAATATAAGTGTATAGCTTTCACTAAGCATGTTAGGTAAAAGTTGAATTGTCTTGGATAGATTACCCATATGCAAATCTCAGAGCTGCTTTTAAAATCTAAGGTTTGTGGAGGGGCTCCGCCAAGAACACGACCGTATGATTCGAGTTGGCGGGATTGACGTCAGGTGGGCAGCGTGTGCCATCCTAGGTTCAGTGTCCGTGTGGTTAGTGTGCTGCGCTGTTGTTAGGCCCGAAAAGGGGGATTCGACGACGGTGTCACTGGCTGAAAGCCGGCTACCGATCAGGTCGCTTGCTTATGCTAAGGGGGTTGCTAAGGTTTGAACTAGCTCGCTTTAGTAATGTCTATTCGGGCAATTTGGCGGGAACGGAATAGTGGCCGCGATGTATTGCCAGTCGTGTGCCGCGCGCGCCAGAATGGGCCGTGTCGTACGTTCGTCATATGGTGACTACGAACCAGATCAGACTTAGCTGTACCTTCTCTACCCTATCCGCTTCATACAATGATGATTTTTATGATGAACATGGGTTATTCGTCGTCATAGCCAGGAGTTAGGAATGGAAAAAAGAGGCTTTAGGGTAACGAAAATCGCTCGTCCGCCCGTCGTCCGCCGTTACCACAGGGTGGTAGTGAGGAAAAAGATCTACTTCTAGGGCTGATGGAAGGCGATTTACACCTGCAAGTCAGGTATCTTGAGGAGTCGGCAGTCTGCGTGTGTATGTATTTTGTTGGCGGCAGATATGTTTTGTGCTTTCGTAGCTGCTATAGCCTATCTAGGCCCTAGAGCGAGCGTCTGTCAAAATCTGCA